CTGTGTATGTGTGTGTGGGGGGGGGGCTTGCGCGTTTGGGCACGTTACCCACTATATAGAATTGCGATATAGAATAGAATAGAATAGAATTGCGTTATCTTGCTGCTGCTTTTGCTGCTATTGCTGCTAGTGATGTTACTGTTACTGCTCAACGCATTGGCGCGATAATTGTGGACAGTGAGATATTTCTAGATCTATCTAGAATTGCGTCGGATAAAATTGGTGAATTATCTCTCTGCTGCAACTCACTGCGCAGGTCAGTGCGCAGGTCAGTGCGCGGAGCGGTTTCTAGAAGTCAAACGTCTTACGTCAGAAGTGAAATAGCAAGCTGATCTTAACATGTGTTATTTTGCGGCGCATGATAGGCGATGATTATAGAAATTTCATGTAAACCGCATGGTTGAAAATCGCCGATATCACCATAATTGGCGCGTGATTGTCGTGAAAATCGATCTTTGTGCGTATACGTATCCGCGTTCCACCGACTCGCAAAAATCCACCGGAAAGAGGATAATGGCGCCGCTATCATAGTAATTACTGGGAGAAAATATAAGATGATCAAACGTAGTTATATATATATATATATATATATATATATATATATANATCTATCTATCTATCTATCTATCGATCGATCTATCTATCTTTCTCGCTGTCTGTATTTTGGTCTGTCTATCTGTCTATCTGTCCGTTCGCTCGTCCGTCCGTCCGTCCGTCCGTCCCTCCGTTTGTCTGCCTCTTCCCTCGCTCTTTCTCTCTCCATCCCTACCTCGCGCCCTCTCTCTCTCGTTGTCTTTCTCGGTTTCTCTTTCACGCGCGCTCTCTCTCTCCTCCTCTCTCTCTCTCCCTGCATATTTTTCGTGTTTTTACTGAAGAGCACACACAGTAGTAAATATGTAAGCCGTTAGGGTACGTAGTAGCATGTAAACACACATGTAAGATAAATGTAAAGACATGAAAAAATTATTCCAGTGAATTATAACGCTTACAGATGATATAATATTCGTTAACAATATATATATATATATATATTATTACATAAAGCAAATCCACGAATCAAAGAATACGGGGTTATCTTTCGAGTGTGATTACCTTATAATAAAATGGTTCCATTGAAACACCATATCAAAAGCAAATAAACTGATATGCGTACGATATTGACCGCATCATCCATCCTAGATACAATAATGTACAACCCAAACACAGGATAGGGTAACCCTAGCTCTAGTACTATACCCCGCGTTCATTAACTGCCGCAGTTAATGAACGCTGGCTATAGTACTAGAGCTAGGGTTACCCTATATCCTGTGTTTGGGTTGTACATTATTGTATCTACATCCACCCGTGCGTCACGCCACAGATAATAATGCCTCAAACAATGTGAATAGTCAAAAGATGATAATATTGATAGAATGTCAAAACTTAATACCTTTTATAATTTAATTTGTATATATGTATGTGTGTGTATATACATATATAATATATCATCAGGAGCGAATAAAACTCATTGTTTATATTTACTCCTGTATTTATGTATACAGCAGCAGGCTAGGTTACATAATTAAATGTTAATTTATTTATACACATACCCATATATACATATAAATTAAATATCTATTATTATATTATACCTATTATATATATTTATGAACCCGCATAAGCGCACTGACACATCGACCCGCACACACGCACGCACACACGCACGCACGCACACACGCACGCACGCACACACGCACACACGCACGCACGCACGCACCACGACGTACTTAGTTATATGCGGTGTGGTAAGTACACCTCTACCGACACACGAGACGTCGGCTGGTGTTACTTACACGATCGGAGTCGGACTGGTGTTACCACACGTCGTCGCGCTGGCGTTACACACGTCGTCGACTGGTGATACCCACACGATCGTCGGCTTGGCAGTTACCACACGTCGTCGTGTTTACAACGCCGTCGGCTGGCGTTACCACACGTCGTCGGCTGTGTTACACCGGTGTCGCGCTGGTGTTACACACGTGTCGGCTGGTGGTTACCACACGTCGTTCGCGCTGTGTTACCACACGTCGTCGGCTGGCGTTACCACACGTCGTCGGCTGGTGTTACCACACGTCGTCGGCTGTGTTACCAACGTCGTCGGTAGGTGTTACCAACGTCGTCGCTGGTGGTACACACGTCGTCGTGAGTGTTACCACACGTCGTCGGGCTGGTGTTACACACGGTCGTCGGCTGGCGGTTACCACACGTTCGTCGGCTGTGGTACCACACGTCGTCGGCTGGTGTTACCACACGTCGTCGGCTGGTGTTACCACACGTCGTCGGCTGGTGTTACCACACGTCGTCGCGCTTGGCGTTACCAACGTTGTCGGCTGGTTTACCAAAGTTCTCGGCTGGCGTTCACCAAGCTCGTCGGCTGGCTGTTACCACACGCTCGTCGGCTGATGTTTACACAGTCGTCGGCTTGCGTTACCAACTCGTCGGCTGAGCTGTTTGACCACACGTCGTCGGCTGCGCTAGCAGTCGCTCTCTCCCGTCGACGTAAACTCCATCACGCCTTCTATGTAGTCCATCGCCAGCAGGTAGGCCCACGGTCGTGGCGCCACGCGCTCCCAGAAGCCGCAGTGCCCGCCCCTGGCGGTCGTCACGAGAAACAGGTTCGGGTAGATGCGGAATAGATCGTACGGCAGCGCGGCGGCCGGCGACAGCGGGTCGTCCAAGCTCTTCACACACAGCACGGGCACCGACACGTCGTCGACGTCCCGCAAGGGGGCGTTGCGCTCCCAGTAGTCGTCGGGCGACGCGTAGCCGTGCAGCCGACACTCGAACTCGTCGAGCGACGCGCACGCGAGCAGCCGCTGGACGTCGGCGACGGCGGAGAACGCCGACGCGTAGCGAGCGACGCGCAGCTGAGCGTCGGCGAGCAGCAGACGCTGGTAGGGCTGCGCGACGCGCACCGTGTCGCCATCTAGCGGCGGGGACACGCACACGGCCGCCGTCAGGTAGGACGACGACCCGTAGTCGCCCAGGTAAGAGATGAGTAGTCCGGCCCCGGCGCCCGCGCCAACGCTAGAGATCTTAGCTCGCGGGTAGAGGGCGCGCAGGTACTTCAGCACCTGCCGGAGGTCGGCCGTGTCGCCGTACGACTGCAGGCGAGGCGTCGCCAGCGGCGTGCGCGCGCAGCCGCGTCGGTTAAACACCGCACAGCGGAAGTGACGCGCCAGCACGAGCGCGCACAGCGCCGACATCGTCGCCGCGCTTCCGGTCAGCGTCGGCAGCACGATGACGACGGGCGTGTGTCGCTGGTAGGTGTCGGCGTGGCCGACGACGCCCGCCCAGTCGAGCGAGACGACGCCGTGGTCGCGCATCTGCAGGAACTCGCGCCGGAAGTAGACGCCGTCGGCGCGTGGCATCACGGCGCCGAGTAGCGTCTGCGCGTGCGCGTTGGCCGCCCAGAACGTCGGCCGGAACTGTCGGCGCAGCCGCGGACAGCGCTTCAGTAGGTAGGCGGCAAGGCTGGACGGCTTGCAGTGCAGCGTCGGTCGGCAGGCGAGCGGCGACGTGATGCAGACGAGAAGGTAGACGACGACGGCGATGGTGATCGAACAGACGACCGCCTCGCTCACCGTCGGCAGGCAGTCGACGCCGACGACGAGGACGACGAGCATCATGACGTCCTTCCGGTAGTCTGTAACGCTTGCTTCAGTTAGTCTGGCACACTTGCTTTCGGCACTTTGGCAAACTTTCTTCAGGTAGTCTGGCACACTTTCTTTCGGCACTTTGGCAAACTTTCTTCCGGTAGTTCGGCACACTTCCTTTCGGTACTCTGGCACACTTTCTTCCGGTAGTCTGGCACACTTCCTTCCGGTAGTCTGGCACACTTCCTTCCGGTAGTCTGGCACACTTCCTTCTGGCGTCTTAGACAAACTAACACGCAGGCGCATGCGTGATGACCCCTGTGACGTAGGTTCAGAAACGTGAGTGTCCGCCTCTCGTTACGTGGCGCCGCGGCGGCGGTGTCGCTCTCACCATGCTGGCGGCGTGTTAGCAGACGGCTGTACACGAACGTACACACACGCACGCACACACGCACGCACGCACACACACACG